TTATTTATTTTTAAATTTAAATTTATTTATATTTTAATTTAGACATTATTTAGAAGCAGGTGTTCAAAAAACCCCAAAACCTAAAACCCTAAAATTATAATTCAAACTTTTTAAATTTTGTAATATATAAGTTATATTTTAATTTTATAATATATATTTATATTAAAAAATAATAATTATATAAATAAAATAAATATAAAGTAAATATTTATATTATATATGCTTGAGATAAAAAAAATCTTATTTAAGGAAAAAATCTCAATATATATAATATAAATTAATATTAATAAAAAAAATTCTATTATATTAATATTTAAAAATAATAAATCTCATCAATATCTTTAAAATTTTTTTGTACTAATTCACTTGGATCATAATTTTCTTTATCTTCTAAATCTTGAATAAAATCATTTAAATTATTGTCATTATCTAAATCTTCTATAATTTGATTATTATCTTTATCTTGAAAAATATTATTTTCTAAATTAATTATTTCTAATAAATTTAAATTTTCCCATTTAATTCAGATTTTTTATTAGTAATATAATAAGAATGAATTTTAACTAATAATTCAAGATTTTCTACTGATAAATTAATTCTTCTATTTCCTGTCATCCATCCACAAATAGACCAAATTCTTTTACAACTTGCTGCATGTGGAGTTATAGAAAAAATTTTAATTCTAAGTAATTGTAAATATGGTAGTCTATATTACATGTTTCATACCAACTTAAAGCTGTATTAATATTTGGTAAAAAAGATGTAGTAAATGGACTATCTTGCAAATAAAATTTTCTAAATTGAGATATAAGAATATTTGCTGATTGTTGTTTAGAATGTTTATTGTTTTTTAATTCTTTTGCAATTTCTGGAATTTTTATCATTTATTGCCAAATATTAGCTGCTGATGCTGTAATTCTTAAAAATTGGGTTTTTTGAACACCTGCTTCTAAATAATTTATAAATTAAAATATAAATAAATTTAAATTTAAAAATAAATAACATACCTTTATAACTTGGATGAAGAAAATATGCTAAAAGATATTCATCAAATTCATATTCTTCATATCTTGTATTAAATACTTTAATAGCATGTCAATAAAATTGAGAATGATTTTCTTTAGAAAGTTTATGAATTGTTTTTCCTAAATATATTAATGCAAAATAACAATTAGCTAATGTTGCAGTTCTATTTTCTAAACTAATAATAGCATCTTTAATAGGTTTAAAAATATTAGCTAAATCATGAACATCATAAGAAAATCCCTTTTTTTTAGAAATAATTGTTTTAATAGATTCATTTGTTATAGCTGAAGAGTTTTTATTAATTATCTAGATAAAATTTATAAAATTTTTTAATTTTTTAAATAAAATAATAATAAATTAATATAAATAATAATAATTAAATAATTTTATAATACCTCTTTAAAATATGTTTCTAATTGATAAACTGATTTTAACATTTCATAAACTGTCATCTATCTTGTATTAATATAAATTTTTAAGCCACCACCTAATATATTTTTTTTAGAAATTTTAGAATTTAAAAGACTATTTGGCAAATGACTTTTTTTAAAATATGTAACCAATGCTTTGCATCAATGAATAATTTTAGATGCAAATAGATGCTTAACTAAATCTTTTGTAATAAGATTAAGTAAATAAGCAATACATCTAATATTTAATATATGTGAATGTTTTTGACAAATTTGTTTTCTTGCTAAATTAACATTTGAACCTGCATCTGTTACTATACCCATAAATTTTTCAACTCCAATTTCATCAAGAATTTTTTGAATTTCACTTGTTAAAAAATTTGCTGTATGACTTGTATTTGAATAATCATGAATTTTTCAAAGAATATCTTTACTATCTAAATAAATAATAAAATTCTATAATAATTTTCCTGTTAAGCTAGTCCATCAATCTAAAGCTTAAAATAAATAATAAATATTATTAAATATATTAAATTTAATTTAATTTATAAATTAATTAATTAATTAAATTTTAAAAAATTTAAAACATAAAATAAATTAAATACCTTTTTTTTTTTGTTTTAACAAATTATATAAATATGTATCAATTTTTACAATTTTTTTTGCTAATAATTCATTTGCCATATTTCTTCTATTAGGAGGTGTATAAGCTGGACGAAGTTGTTTTAAAAATTCAATAAAAAAAGAATGTTCAATAAGTCTCCAAGGTAATCTACAACATACAAATGCTTTAAGAAGTGCTCTATTTATTGATTCAATAAATTTATCAGGTATAGTTGTATTTTCAAGATATTCATCTAAATTTAATTGATCACTTGAATGCTTAGTTCCAATTGATTTTTCTCTAAATTTAACAATATATATAACTACTTCTTTTGTTACTTCAGAAACTTCAGTACAATCACTAATAATATGTTTTTCTATTAGTTTTGCTTTACAAATTGCTTCATAATAGCCTAAATTATCTAATAAGTTGCCTCTATCATAAAAATTTCAAATTGGCTTTAATGGGCGACCACCAATATTTTTTTCAAAGCTAGATTTAACTTTTTTAGATCCTGACATATTAAAATAATATATATTATAATAATATATATATAAAATAAAGAGGTGTGGCGACTTCGTGTAGTGGTCTAGTTGTCACCCTCTTCAAGTGGCAGGTCTAGAGTTCAAATTCCACAGACGACGATATTTGAAAAATAGGCTTGTGTTCAGTTGACAGCTAATGCATATCGGTTGGTCTAATCTGTAACTTTGGTTACACTATCTAGTAATGGGAGCAATGGCACAATAAATCCGAGGAACCAGCATAACTGAAAACCCATTTGGGAAGTCCCGAGTTAGGAGTAACAATAATCTTCGATGGTATTACAAGAAGGCTGAATTCGTACCGAGGCCTGAAATGGAGAACTGGACCACCAGGTCCTAATGGTGGAGGACACACCAGCTGAACTGCCGGGTTCTGTTGTACTGGAGAAAAAGGACATATACTCTAAAAGTATGTACCAAGGGGAGGGCATCCTTCAGGTACCTAAAGCCTAGGCAAACTGACCCTTCCGAGTT